CAGCAGGCAGCTGGATCACAAATGAAGCAGCTGGGTCTCAACCCGGCACCCGTATGGATGCAGCATCACTCCAATCTAAAGCCAGGAGCTTCTTCCTGGTCTCTCATGTAGGTTCAGGGGCCCAAGGACTTGGGCCATTTTCTACTGCTTTCCCAGGCCATAAGCAGAGAGCTGTGTAAGAAGAGGAGTAGCCGGGACTAGAACCAGCACCGAGATAGGATGCTAGCACTGCAGGTGGAGGCTTAGCCTACTACACCACAGCGCTGGCCCCTAAACTTACCTTCTAATTCAATTTCCGTGAAACTTTTTGAAGTACCCTTGTTTGTATGAGAAGAAGTTGACATGGAGGTTTCCAACTGCATGAGTTTTGGATTCCTTAAGAAGTGTTTATTTTGCTTATTAAAGTTCTTACTGCTGTAGCCAGTAATCCACAGTACCAGGAGGGTTGCTATCTTATGTTTGAAGTGAGAAATATCAATTCTGTGAAAGGGCAGAAAACATGTTGGCTAATAAACATAATGGGACAAGATGAGATGGTTTTATATTATTTCGAGAGAGTAGATTTTTAAACAACCAACCAGCATCTTTTAAGAGTGGATACATAGAAACTTGACCATGAGACATTCTTGAGAAAACACAGTGCCCTCCCCTGCCCACCCATAGAGACCAGTATATTTGACTTCCTTAGCACTTGGAGATTAGAATGGGGCTGTGGGGAAGAAGGGGAATTGAAGAAATTAAATAATGGAGCTGATGAATAGAAGCTCATCAGGGAAAGACTTTAGCACATGAATCGTAAGATCTTACTTTCAACTAATACATGTATAAGTTCCATGTTCAAAGGACACAAAACTAAGTTCTGTTTTTTCTGTCCCCCAAACTAGAAGGATGTTATTTGATATAGGCTGACTACTACTTGTATATCCATCCAGAGGTTTTATATGCTTATCTGAGCATAAGCTTTTACCCAGTTTAGCACTGCTTTTCTACTAATGAATCTTGATGAGCATTTCTCCCTCCTACAGAGAGAGCAGCCGCCATTCTCTTGAATGACTGCATGCATTTGTGTCCTGTTGCATCTCTGCAACCAAATCGCTTACCCATCTTCCAGTAATGGATTCTTGTAGCTTTATAAATAATTCTTCAATGTGTGTCTCTGTGTGTACCTGCAAGTATACCTCTGGGGTAAGACTCAAAGTACCGGTACCAGGAGCATGTGCGTACTTGAGTGCCATGCTCCCGAGAGAGGGTCCTGCACACAGCACCAGAGGGCTCATCTTCCCCACACAACCAGACCGACTGAGCTTTGCCATTAGGACAGGTGGCCGGGTACACCAAGGTTTCTGTTCGTCCATCTCGCATCAAGTGTGTAATGTGTCTGAGTCACTTGTCATGTCCCTGGACCTTTCTCTGCTAGGGTTTTGGTGTTTCTGATTTGTAGGAGCTCCTTTTTCATTGAGAAAATGAACACCTTCCCTAACATTACCAATATTTTCCAAGTTATATCTTCTTCTTTCTTTATGGTGTGTTACCAGGTACTTTGATTTTTCTATAGTCAAATATATTGATTTTGTGACTTACATTTTATGTGATGTAGAAAGGACTACCTACTCTGTATATAAATTCTATTTTTCTAGTACTCTTAGAATCTCACTGTTTTATCCTTACATCTTTGATCTAAGCATATATATATCTTAGTTTAGCATGAGATAGGGATCCATCTTATTTTTTTAGATAACTATCCAAATGTCTGACTTTTCCACTTCACTATTTTGAAATGTCTCTTTTGTTATCACTAGATCCTCTTATGTGATTGACTTTGTTTCTAGGTTTTAAAAATTCTGTCTCGTTGTTCTGTCCTTTTACGCTGATAACATGATATTTCAGTCATTGTGATTTTGTAGAATCCCAGGTCAGGATACATCATACCTAATTTTCATAATTTTTTTCTGTCTATACCTACCCTTCGTCCCATATACACTTTACAAATTCTCATCTAAAGCAGATTGTAACTCTGGATCTACTACAAGTACAGATTTTAAAATATGTGAAAAAAGTCACAGAGAGCCAAAAGCATATGTGTGTTGGTTTTTTTCCCCACAAAGGAAAAAGCCGTAACTTCTGGATTCTCCCTGGTCTCTGATGCCCCTCTTCTACCGTTAAGAACTGTTGTTGTCCAATAGGAATATTCCCAACTTTAACCCTACATTTATCAAAGGCCATTCCCACAGTGGTTCTCCTCTGTCAGCGTTATTGTGGTTCTTCCTGGGGACTCTCAGAATTGTTTCTGTATCCCACATATTGATGGCACTGCGATGTGTCTGTTGCTGAGTGATTTCTCGTGTCTGTTGGGTGCTGAGTCTCCCAGGCTCAACAGGTGATGGGCAGCATTAAGCTAGTTGTTTTTCTGTAGGACCAACATATCTGGCAGAAACCCATGTCACCAAATCACAGGTCGTCTAACTGCGTCTCGAAGCAAGGCCAGGATCAGAGCTTTCTGTCAACATTGGATTGTTTGCGGCACACACACTCTGTATGCTCATCATAAAAGGGGCCACAAAGAGCTGCCGAGTGTACAAAGAGCACAGGAAGACCTCCTCCTCCCCCAGGCAGTCTTCAAGCCGAGTGCCAGCCATCACATGCGTGAGCATTTCAACACAGGTTTTGCTTGGCCTCCATAACTTAGGAGCACAGAGGCAGGATGCGCTCAGTAACTGAGGACTTTGGAATGCTGCCCAAAGAAATTTGAGGGAGGGGCCGGTGCCATGGCTCACTTGGTTAATCCTCCGCCTGCGGTGCCAGCATCCCATATGGGCGCTGGGTTCTAGTCCCGGTTGCCCCTCTTCCAGGCCAGCTCTCTGCTGTGGCCCGGGAAGGCAGTGGAGGATGGCCCAAGTGCTTGGGCCCCTGCACTCACATGGGAGACCAGGAGGAAGCTCCTGGCTCCTGGCTTCGGATCAGCGTAGCTCCGGCCGTAGTGGCCATTTCGGGGGTGAACCTGGCTCCAGGCTTCGGATTGGCGGAGCTCCGGAAGGAAGACCTCTCTCTGTCTCTTACTGTCTAACTCTGTCAAATAAATAAAAAATAAAAAGTTTGAGGGAAAACTTTTATCTTCCCCTTCACTGGTGTTCTGTAGAAAGTAAGGGAGTGCTCACCCCCTGATTGAGGTCCTAAAGCCTGCACTGAACACGTGCTCAACCCCACGTTAGGAGCAGATTCACGTTCCTTCAGCTACGTCCTGGGGAGCCCCTAGGATCTGACTCGAGGCGAGCACAGGAGGACACTGGGCACTTGCCAGTCTCAGCCCTGTGTGGCTTTCCCGCCAGCCAGGAGCGCACCTTGCTCCTCTGTTGCCTGTGTCCCCTCTCCCTATGCGTGTCCTGCTGTGCTCTTCCTGGTCACTCCCGGAAAGGATTCCCTGTCTTCTGGCTTTGTGTTGAGTTTTTCTCACCACGCTGTTCATTGCTGTGGGTGCATGATGTCCTGTGTTCTTACCCACCCCTGTGATAGGGAGCCCCACGTGCACAGCAGTGCCTGGACACCGAGGAGCAGGTGTGGGGAGGCCCTGGTGCTGAGACAAGGCCAGAGTCCATGTGGGAACCCCAGGAGAATGTGCGCTGCAGCGCATTCGAAAGCAGCAGCTTTGAACAATGAAACTGCACAAGTCATTGGGATGGATTTTGTGTGTGTGTAGCAAGTCAGAAAGGCCCATGGGGTGGGAAAACCATTCACAGTGAAATCAGGACAGCGCTGGGACCCTTTGTTTTAGCTTTTATATCCATCTAGGGGGTATTTGGCCCATGGGGATGTGAAGGCATGTTGCTTTCTAGTATGTAGGAAATACACTGATAATGTTTGGTTTTTTAGATGATTTCTTATTTGTACCTGCTTGAAAGGCAGAATAACATAGAGGATGAGACAGACAGATGTTCATATCTTCTGTCTAATGGTTCCATCTCCAAATGCCTGCAACAGCTGGGGCTGGGTTAGACCAAGGCCAGGAGCCGAAAACTTCATCTGGGTCTCCCACGTGGGTAGCAGGGGGCCAGGCACCTTAGTCATCCTCTGCTGCTTCAGAGGTGCATTAACGGGAAGTTGAATCAGAAGCAGAGTAGCTGGAACTCAAGCCATCACTCCAGTAAGGGATGTGGGCACCCCAAGCAGTGACAGCCCGCTGTGCCATAATGCCTACCTTGTTACTCGTTTTTATATATTAGGATTCCCAAGGAAGGGTGCGTTGGTTAATTTCTTTTGAAAGTACAGTGGAGTAGAAAGTTCTTTAGTAACTCTGGTTCTAGCAAGCACAGTGTGAGGAATGCTGTTTTTCTTAGTTCTCAATGCCAACTTTATTCTCCTTAGCTATCTTCAGGGTACAAGTCTCCAAAGTGTACTTGAGAGATCACACTGCTCTGTGCACGTTTGCTGTGTCCTGTGTAGGGCACCCTTGCAGGGCAGGGTGGTGCCACCACACAGCTGACCCAAATCTTTCTGGGCTTGAATGAAGTGTGTGTGTTCTAAGTATCAGCAAGTTCAAGATGGAGCCAGAGAGCCAAAAGCAGGAGAGGTAACTTCCACAGAAAACAGGGAAGTCTGACAAAACACCTGGGCCCCATGTTGAACAGTGTTGGATTGAGGTTAGTTGGTTGGTTTTGTCAGTTTTCTTTCTTTCCTTCCCACAAACCAGCACCCTCCACTCCCTACCCTGACACAGCCCAAACAAGCCCTACAGCAACAGCAAAAGCAAAACCCTTGGCAAAAATCATCCAGTTATCTTAAACCAGTGCAGAGTAAGTGTGTGTTCCTGTCCTTTCTCTGTGTAGGCCTCTTCTGTTTGTTTAACACGTTTAAACCCCAGGGCAACACTGATCAGCAGGCACTAGATGTTGCCATCGTACAGGGAGCTGCTCGGAGAGGAATGACTGTCTTCCCTGTCTTCTCTGTGTCCCTCCAGCTGCTTTGCCACGTCCAAGTGCATCCTAACTCTTGTCTCTCACTTCCAGCTTCCCTGACCAGTACGTCCCCCGAGATGGCAGAGGAGAGCAGCAGCTCCAAGGACTGCGTGTCCTTCAGCGTGCTCAACTGGGAGCAGGTGAGCCGGCTGCATGAGGTCCTGACCGAGGTCGTCCCCATCCACGGCCGAGGCAACTTTCCAACCCTGGAGATAACCCTGAAGGACATCGTGCAGACCGTCCGCGGCCGGCTGGAGGAGGCGGGCATCAAAGTGCAGGACGTACGGCTGAATGGCTCCGCCGCCGGCCATGTGTTGGTCAAAGACAACGGCCTGGGCTGCAAAGATCTGGACCTGATCTTTCACGTGGCGCTTCCGACAGAGGTGGAGTTTCAGCTGGTCAGGGACGTGGTTCTGTGCTCCCTCCTCAACTTCCTGCCGGAGGGCGTGAACAAGCTCAAGATCAGCCCGGTCACGCTGAAGGAGGCCTACGTGCAGAAGCTGGTCAAGGTGTGCACGGACACCGACCGCTGGAGCCTCATCTCGCTCTCCAACAAGAACGGGCGGAACGTGGAGCTCAAGTTTGTCGACTCCATCCGGCGGCAGTTTGAGTTCAGCGTGGACTCTTTCCAAATCATCCTGGACTCTCTGCTGTTCTTCTACGACTGCTCCAGCAACCCCATCTCTGAGCACTTCCACCCCACGGTGATCGGGGAGAGCGTGTACGGGGACTTCGAGGAAGCCTTCGACCACCTGCAGAACAGACTGATCGCCACCAAGAACCCCGAGGAGATCCGAGGCGGGGGGCTGCTCAAATACAGCAACCTTCTCGTGAGGGACTTCCGGCCCACCGACCAGGAGGAAATCAAAACCCTGGAGCGCTACATGTGCTCCAGGTTCTTCATCGACTTCCCGGACATCCTGGAGCAGCAGCGGAAGCTGGAGACCTACCTGCAGAACCACTTCGGCGAGGAAGAGAGAAGCAAGTACGACTACCTCATGATCCTCCGCAGGGTGGTGAACGAGAGCACCGTGTGCCTCATGGGGCACGAGCGCAGACAGACCCTGAACCTCATCTCCCTCCTGGCCTTGCGCGTGCTGGCGGAGCAGAACATCATCCCCAACGCCACCAACGTCACCTGCTACTACCAGCCAGCTCCGTACGTCAGCGACGGCAACTTCAACAACTACTACGTGGCGCATCCTCCGGTGACCTACAGCCAGCCTTACCCGACCTGGCTGCCCTGTAACTAACCTTGAGACCGAGGGCTTCTGCCGGGGGAACCCAACAGGGCAGGGGCTCTCAGGTAGGGGAGCCTCCTCCTAGACGTAGGTGTTTGGCTTTTAAAGGGGAACTCAGCTCAGATTCTGCTTTCTTTTTTCTTCGTGTACCCAGTTAGAATGGGTCTGCAGTCTGTTATGAGCCAAACCCAGAAGGACCCGTATTCCAGTGCCCCTTGGAAAACCTGCTATAGGAAGCGTGACCTAGCCGCATCTTTCCAAGAGATGCACTCACACGTCACGTCCCAGTCCTGAGCAAGGGGGGTGGGATTTGAGCTCTCTCTGTGCAATCACTGGAGACCGGGAGAGCTCGGGCAGCCTACGCGAAGTGTGAAGCGGCTTCTCCCTGGAGCCTAGGCCGCGTGGGCTCTCTCTCCTGGGGTCCTGGGTACTTAACCGACAAGTTGTGCTCACAGTCTCTCCTCTTGGAACCCCTTTAGCCAGGCAGGAAATGGTAAACACGAGGGTGCTCTTGGGACTTAAGTTTTGTTTCAGGGACTTAAAGTGCTTCTGTTTAGTCCCCATCAGCAGAGCTGAGAATTTCGTTCATCAATAAACCAAAGCCAATAGCTGGAGAATTGAGATCTGGTTGGAAGTGGTTTATGGTTGAGATGCTGTGCTATCTTGAGGAATTGTGAGATATTGCTGAGGAAAAAAAAAAAAAGACCTTCTCTTTAAATGTAACTTGAAAACAAAATAAAATATGGAACTTAATGTTAAAGTAGAATTGTGGTAGTGGGGGGGGTGATGATTGTAAATAGGAAATATGAATGTTCGTGGTTTTTTTTTTTTTCTTTAAGGAATTCTTTCGGAATGACACTCTCTTTCCCTTCATCGGCTCTGTTGTGGCTGACTTCTGTTTTGCTCTGCCTAAGACTGAGGATTGTGTTGTGTCTGGAGACGTTATAGTAACTGACATGAAGGGTCTTCCCATGTTTTAATTGGAAACCCATCTAGGTCACATTCCAAGTATGACAAGCTGGTTTAATTTTTTTTTTTTTTCTGGAGTACTTTGCCTATTTTTTGGTTTTTGTGTTTTCTCTCTCACCCCCCGCCCCGCCTTACCCCACCCCAAAAATAGTGGTTTCCTTCTCTGGGTGTTTTTGACAGCAAATAAATTCAGGAATTTCAGTAGACCTGAGTGACCTGTGGAATGACTTTAGAATCTAACCTGTCCCATGCTGTGCGTGAAGGTAGGGATTTAGCATTATGTCTTGGCCTCGTGGGCATCAAATCCCCCAAGGCTCCTTGAAATCATTCCAGTGTATTTGGGGAAGAACTGAGTGAATGAAGAGTGATCTTCCTTGTTGTGGGACGTGTGACCGTACTTGTTTATATTCTGCACTTTAGAAGGAAAACAGTGTTAACCTCTAGTCTAAAGCAAGCTTAGGAAATGGGACAGTTCTAGGCTACTGTTGCATTTGCCAGTAGATTTAGATAAGGGATTCTGTGTTTGGAAACTTCCTGTGGGATCTCTTAGAAAGCATCACGTTGGTGTGTCAAGGGCAAAGACCTTCAAGAATGCCGGCGAGCTTGATTTCTAAGGTGATTTAATTAAATCCATGCTCCTGGTTTTTAGTTTTTTCTGGGGCCATAAAAGTCCAGAACACCAAGTGATTGCTTTCTCCTTGCTTAAATAAGGAAGGGATCCTAATGCAGAAGTTCTTAGTAGAACATGAGTGGTTTACGTTTTTTTCAAAAATATTTTTCTTCTGGAATGTGATGTCTTGGTCCTCTTAAACGAAAGACATGACTGAAGCCCAAGGCTTGATTAGCTGGCATCCATGCCGAGCTACGTTAGGTGACTAGAGGCCACTTCTTACTGGAACCAGCTCCTGTTTCCCTGTGAGCCCTAGTTATATTTGAACTCATTGGCTTTGAGTAAAGCTCAGCTCAATATTTGAGGGGACCTGGTTGCTCCAGTTTTAAAAGGGGGGACAATGAAGAGGGATCCCAGCAATGAAAACTGTCTGATCACCCATGACCTTAAAAAGCTGCCATTGCTGTCAAGTGGCAACATATTTGCACAAAAATGACAGATGTATTTAACCAAAGCTTTGAAACATGAAGCCACCAACATTCAGTACTTGCTAACAGAAATCAGTATTGCTTCTGCTTAGAAGGCTTTGTGGACCAGGGTAAGAGGGACTCTATGAAGTCATTAAATTTCCAGTTTGTTCATCGAGATCTTTCCGCTTTTGTTTTTTTTCTGATGTAGCAGTAGTCCTCCTTTGAGAATGAAGGGAGGCACAAATGTGAGAATTTCCCAGCCCCCCAGTTCATTTCCAACTCTTCAGGATGGCTGCCTCGGTAGAATCTCTTCTCCTGACCTTTCTAAGTCAGCTCAGCTATTTCTGTAGTTTGACAATGGACATGTTTTTCTAGAACCTTCAGGGTAAAAAGCTATACTGACCAAAGCAGCATTTTAACACACAATCCCTGGACCACCTGCCCTATGAGCCTGTTGCTAGCCTCAGAACAGTCTAGTAACCTTGAATTTCAGGTGTCTGGAAATTCTAGCTGAAACCTGCCTTTCATACTGCTCAGCCAAGCACCAGATACCCTGAACTTGTACGGAGTCCAGTAGTTCCTTTTTTTTTTTTTTTTTTTTTTTGTGCATTGAGTAACATGAAACTTGGCAGTGGCAGAGGGCACTAAAGTTCAAGTGCAAGTTCTAATCTAAATTTAAGCAGTTTCTCATTTGCTTCAGGACTCTGAGCTGTTTTCTGCAAGAAGGCAGCCTGTTCTCCCAGCCGGCTTTTTGCAGTCAGGTTGAGCAGCAACAAGATGGAAATGGCACCTTTTGCTCTTTCCTTGGCAGGAGAGCACACACGAGGGGTCTTTAGGCTCACCCTGAAATCTTTGGCAACAAGATGCTATTCACTCAACAATTTCTATGTGGAAACTAAACTCTGTATCAGGAACACCTTCCACTGGGAGATCCTGATGATTGCATGTAGGGTGTGGCATAGCCCACCCCGGGCAGAGCCTGGCAGACAGGGTGAGTTAGGTATAGAGAGGAGGCTATGCCTGGTTCCTGATATGTGAGACAGATGTGATTTGACATTCAAGTTTGGTTTTTCCCCTGGGGATTTGAGTCCCTGGGAGCTGTGTGTGAACCTGTGTTTTGTGGTGGTACATTAATCAAAATCACTAAAGCCTGAATCTGCTTGCCTTGCAGCCTCACCTCTAGCACTAAGCCCTTACCTTCATGGTAGGTTAGGATTTTAATCAGTACTGCTTCTGTTAACTTTGGGAAATGGTGCCACTCAAAAGCAACTTCCTATCTTTAGGAACAATTCTTTCTAGTGAACTTCCTGGTGCTGGTGCCTTGCTCTAGGATGCTGCTACACTCTTAGCTCAAATGTCCTCTTCCAGAGAGTGAATTAAAGCTTAACTTTCCAATCGTGAAAAGAAACCTCGATGCTCCCCAGGGCCGTTATTCCTGGGTATCCAAGACTCCACCCTAGGGAGAACTCTTTGGCTGGATCCTGTAAGCTGAAAAACTTCCAGTGTCCAAAGTGAGCTTTGCATCCGGAATTGGCAGAGGCCAGAATTTCACAGCTGACTTTGGAACGTACTCGAATCCAATCCATTAGATTCAGAGGACCAATGGAGAGGTGTTGAGGAGAAGTTGTCCAAAAAGGAACTGACACCTTTTCAGAGTTATTTGGAGACCCCTGAGGTGAGAATTAGTGAAGAAGAGGCTTTTTTGTGAGTTCAAGTGCCTAAATCTTGTTTACCTATCACTTTTTTAAAACAATAGTTTAAGTGTAAGCACAAGAAAATGCTTGGAGTTTTGGCTGGGCTAGTCGGAGTTGGTGCAGATTCTCATGTGTGTTTGCATAGGAAGGTGAAATGACCATCCACTAAAGAGGAAGTAGTTAAATAATGTGGATCTGTGGTATTTTCTTAAAACTCAAGCTATCTGATTTTTTTATGGTAAAAATTTAATTTTCCTAAAGTAGCTATTTCTAAATTAGATGAAAAGATACCACTAGACTAAATCGGAAGATTTTTGTTCTATATTTGCGTAGCCTTTGAGATATTAATTTCTTAGCATTGCCTAGAATGTGTGGGGTGTCCTCTTTGGTAATGGTCACTAACCTTCTGACTTGATGCAGATGAAATCACTTGTCAATGCGATGTGTTAGAACTTGATGAAATAAAGCTTTGAGTTTGAGAAATAAAGGTATATTTAAAAATAAAAAAAATTGTTGGTTGTGCTCATTGCTTTGCTTCTCCTCGGTGGTGAAGTTGTGTTCGGTCTCAGGAAACATTGAGTGGAGAGGGGAAGTTCTCACGTTATCAGCCGGCAACGCTTCCCTGAAAGGTGGCGCTTCTCCAGGGGAGGGACGTGTGGTTACACTGGAAGCATAAAACCTCTTCTAAAGTGTCCGAGCAGTGTCAGTTGAACTTTGTTGTTGACCACAGCCTGTTGGCTAATCACTGCAGTAGGTGTAGTCTTGAAATCATCTTCATTGGCACCTGCTTCAATCCAGTGGCCTTGCCCCAAGCCCATTTCAGTATGAGAACCCAAATGACTTCAACCACACTGTATACAACCACTACCACAGTCCTTCACATCATTCAAGAAATGTCGAGAAGTTGATAGTGTTTGAAATGTTTAAAGAGATCTTGTAGACCTGGTGGGTTCCTTGGATCCAACAGCCCCTGTACCTGCCCTGCCCACCCCAGCCCTGCACCTCCCTTCTGTGCTGAATTTCTTTAACTCCAATGATACTCTCTGTAACTATCATCAAGGAACTTGGGACTGGAACTCCAAAAGCCATCACTCTCTGCTCTTACAGGAACGCTGTCAGTCTGAGGATGAGCCTTCTTGGGGGTCCAGGAGGTGGGCAGTCCTCTAGGGCCCCTGTTCTGGTGTGGTTATCCAGTAAGGCTTCCTCCTCTGAAGCTCTGACTGCCACCTTGCACTATCATGGAGCATTGTCACATGGCTTCCTTCATCCCCACAGCCTCCAGATCCACGTCGGGGGCCTCTTCAGCCTTGCAGTGACAACCTCTGTGCCAGCCACCTGCTCGCGTGGGTTAGGCTCTGTCTGCATTAGAACTGCCTGTGAAGGTTGGAGTGACCTCTGTGATCGCAAGAATTGGGAATGGTCTCAGCGATTTTCCCGTCTTCGCAGGTTGGCCTGTCAGCCATGCCCAGGGTCCTTTTCCTCCTCCTCGGTTCTGCACATGCCTTCTGAAATCTTCCTCGACGCTGACATCTTGTTTGCCTTCAGCTCTTGCTTGGGCTACTTTGTGCGTCTTGTCACTTATGTCCCCTCTCTTTTTCTTGACTCATCCATAGGTTCTTTCTAAAATAGGTGAGCCCATGCCTCTCTCCCCCATACTTTCAGACCTGCTTAAGACCCTGTTGTGCTAAGACAGATGTCAGACTTTGCGGGATGCTGGGAGCTAGCCCCGGGCTACCCTCCTGTCCTTTTATGTACCTTTCTAAGCTGGCCTACTTCCCATTTGAGAACACACAGTTCCTTCCATGCACCCTACCACGCAGCAGATTTCTTAAAAATTCAATGAGATGTCACCCCTTCTCTGGCTTACCAAGCCCAGTT